GTAAGTGGGCCCGGCATCGGTATGATGTCGGCAACAATACGGGGTCCGCCCCGGTTTCGGGGGAAATTCCGGGGCGGGTCCTGTCACCTATTTTGCATATAATTTTTTTCACTGGACTAGAAACATGGCCAAAGGGTGCCACATTGTGCCTCTATAATCAATCGGCACGCTAGGTTCAACTACTTGAAGCTATTACGACGCTTCAATGGACAACTATTTTTATCCATTTTCGGTTTTTTAAAAATATCTCATTTACAACGCGACCATTGCTTAGAGTTTAGAATTGTACATTTAAGAGCTCAAATCTTGGTTTCTAAGCCGGCTTTGGGTTTTGGACTGTACAAATTTCGTAAAAACCTAGCATTCAAGCGATATGAATCGATCAATCGGTAAGAGAAAAAAAAACGACATGGGTGGATTGACCACCGATGGATCAGAAATTGTATCCCCAAAAGAAGAAAAAAAACAGTATATGATCTTTAAGATAAGAGAAGAAATGTATATAGTCAATCAAAATGGGATTCAAACATCGCATCCTATATATATTATATATGGTGAGGAAAGCCAAGGACGACCTTCCAAGTACAATCCAAAAAACACCCATAAGACTAAGCCCGTGTTTGGCCAATGAGTGGGAAATAGCCTCGTTTGTATCCCTAGATTACTATAAGATGCCTGATTGCATCATATCTATTCTCTGCTCAGAAGTTTAAATTTTGGTTCATTAGCTTAGGAGGACTCATGCTCCATGCGCTGAGGGTCTGTACAGAAACAGGCTCTGTCCCATTGTTGAACACAAACAAGTGAGCAGCATCGTTGACAGCTAATGTGGGATAAACCCTGGACAAGATGCATGTTTTTCCTCCAGCTGCGAAACTTTCGACAACGGAATGATCAATCTGCAATTGGAAAAAAAAAGGACATTAGTTATGAGTTCTTGAAAAACTTTTTTACTTATAAAAATGAGTTACAATTAAACTGAGAAAAAGAAAGGGTTAAAGGTAATTCGTACCAAACTCCTTAGAGAAATCTTCTTCTCAGCAGCTAAATCTACATCTACATAGCCAGCAAATGATGGTCTATACTGTTTGATGTCAAACGGCCTCAAAGTTGAACTGCTCCATCCAATTAAATTCAGTGTTAATTTTTTTTTTTTTAAAAATAACAATAAAGAAAAGTTGAGCTAATAGTTGGAGGTAGGAGGACAGAGACAAACCCTTTTGCATCAGAGCACATGAGAACCTTATGCTTATTGTCTTTAGTTTTAAAAACCCTAAAGAAGACAGGAGTGAACTCCTCTAGGTTTTGTGAAGCCAACGTCGCGAGCCCAAATGGACCGACGCCCCCTTGAACATGCGAACGCTTTAGGGCACAAACTGATTCGGCGTCAAGCTTTTCCCAGTTAGGGTCAAACTCCTCAGCTTTGTCCAAGCTCGCCAGCGAGAATGTAACATCAACGTCAGCCTGAGCAGCGGTTATTCCTTTAACTTCAACAAGTTTTCCCGGTATCATATTTTGAATACTTTTCAAGTCGACCTTTTGTCCCCTCAAAGTTTCTAATTCTGCAACAGGCCATTGGAGCACTTGTTTCCCATCAGGGCTCAGCCACACCTCCCTTGGAATTGCCTGCAAAATTATAACATCCATAAAAAATTAAGAAATGCCAAGATATAGTAATGTTGTCTACAATGGTTCATAAATATAGTATTTCTTCCAAAAAAACAAAAACAACAACAATTCTAAAAGCAATCACATTTTTAATACGACAATAATGAATCACCGTCAGCTGAAACGAAAAAGGTTTTTTAGGTTTTAGACATAAAAAAATTTTCGCTTTTGGAAAAAGCCAAAGCTTTTTCAAAAAAGACAAAAAAACCACTCAACTTCCAAATCAAAGACATGCAAATGTATTAGATTCCTTAGGAAATCTAAAAATAAATAAGGGCATTTTTGTCCATTTTTACTTCTTTTAAAATTTTTCTCTCTCCTTTTGCTTTTTCCAAAATGTCCCAAAGGAAAAATATATAGGCCCAGAAACCATACCTGAATTCCAGCCCATCCCTTAGCTGTATCATCGTCAGCTGTATCAGACTCATTAGCCCAACCCCACAGGATCCTCCTATTCTTTGAAGGATCGAAGAAAGTCTTGGAAGCATAAAAATTCCCATAATCCAATCTCAACCCATCCCTACCATCAACCGAAGTGTTATCTGGCAAATAGATATCACCCTCAGGATCATATTTCCCGACTGTGTAATATTCATAGCGAGTCTCATCAAGGCTCACTTTGAACACATGCTTCACGTCCTCACCAACTTTTGATGTGTCCAGTCCATTCTTCCCATGCAACGAAACCGGGAAAAAATCGGGGCACTCCCACATGCCAGTTTTGGAGGCAGAGTGGAGAGCATGCTTGGCCTTGACCCAGTGCTTGAAGTCATTGCTCCGATAAAGCCACGCCATCCCTCTGTGCTTTCTCTTGCCACCCACCAGCATTCTCCAATGGCCGCCGTGCCACCATGCAGTCGTGGGGTCACGAAATTGGCTGGCGTTCATGTCTGAGCCGGGGAGGACGAGGGGATTGTCGTCCGGCTTGAGCCATTCCCGGAGGTAGGGGTCGGATACGTTGGCCGGAACGGCGTAGTTTTGGATCTGTCGCTTGTCGTTGTCGAGGCCAGTGTAGAGGATGACGGGGCGGTTGCCAGGGAGGATGGTGACGGAGCCGGACCAAGTACCGTTTACGTCGAAGGGCTTGGAGGGGAAGATGGCGTGGGGTAGGGCTTCCCAGTTGATGAGGTCTTTGGAGATTGAGTGGGCCCACACAATGTTTCCCCACACAGAACCTTTCGGATTGTATTGGTAGAAAAGGTGGTAGAGACCATTGAAGTACATGGGTCCTGTGCAATTTGCAGTCAAAATTTAATTAAGGAGATCCAATTAACTGCTGTTGAGAAGTTTTAATATTATTAATGCCAAAGATTACTCACCATTTGGGTCTGTGGATGGTTGGTTTATCAGCCGCGCGCCATGGAAATATCCGAAAGCAAAACAAGAGTCAGTGAGTGAAGTAATATGAATGAACAACTTTAAAATACCAATTGCTTGAATTAATATTGTTCGTGATCACAGTAAAGATGTTAGGGACGAAACAAGCAAATTAACGAATCTCACATGCATTAATTACTCATAAATGCATCTCAACCCAGAGAAAAAGAGAAATTTGTGTATGTTCATTTGGAAATACAATTAATTTTAGAGAATATTTTCACACTATTCCATGTGTATTGGATGATACACCAACCGTAACATACAAAAATTACTCAAAAAAGGCAACCTATGGACATCAATTTTCTTTCCAAATATATTTTAATTTCCCTTATTAAATGAAAGTGAAATATACCAAACTCTTAAGTCTTTTTTTACAATTTATGTACCCTTATATCAGAAAAACTTAATGATTTATTTGAAAAAACGATAACACTAATCAGAATGTTTTATAAGACAATACCGTTAATCCAGTGCTGTGGAGGTTGAAAATGGTAGGCAGTTCTGTGGAGTTGCTTCACCTCACCGGCAGGAACGCTTTGAAGCCTAGAGTATATCCTATGGGACGCTTCAACTCTATTATCGTTAATTGTGACCAACAAAACACACGAAGCAAATAAAAAAACCGGAACTAGCTTTCTTACGAAATCCATATTTACAACATGCAGTGAAGAAAGAAGAGGAAAAATTCTGGGATAAATAGGGGTTGAGATATCTATAAATAGCGCTGGAGACTCAGCGACAGACAAGGTGGTACTGGCAGTGGCGATCTATAAGGGTAAAGCGAGAGGTCCAAATTAAATTAAGATGGATGTTTTAAAATTTACATCAAAAAACATTAATGGTATTGCTTGTTAATGTGGAGAATAATAAGGATTAGGTTTGGATTAAGTCTCCTATTACATATTAAAGGAAATTCAACAACCTGACTTATGACTCGGCTTTGACGCCTGACCACCAAGCCATCTACATATCTCCTTCAAGTTCCTTTCAAGAAGGGAAATTTGGATTATTAATTGGGTTATTTTTTTGTTAGGAATATTTGGTAGTCTCTTTTTATTTTTCTAATGATGATTGGACAACCTATTAAAATGATTTATTAACGGTGCTTTACTATATAAAGACAAATAGAAGGGCACCAAGATAAAATAGTCCAACCTCTCAAAAATTGAACAAATCAGTCCAGTCACTATCCGACATTGATATGAGATAACTCTTATGTCACTCATTGAGAGTGACATTGATCAACAACACTCGGGTCACTATCCGACAATGACATAAGAGTTATTTAATTTCATTGTCGGACAGTGACTGGATTGATTTGTCCAATTTTAACATTTTGTCTTGTGTGAATGACTTTTTTTTATTTTCATTTTCTGTTTATTAATTGAATGGCTAGAACATCCGCTACGTACCTTGCTTATCTTTTTTCTTTTGGTACAATTTTTGGTGCCATTTGGATTGCCTTTTCTAATGCACTAGTATTATGAATAATTTGGATGTTTTTGTTTATAATTGAGTGGCTTCTCTTACTTTCTTTACAATTTTTAGATGTATATACGTATTGAATAATACTAGTCTTGGCTCTTGAAAAAAGAAGAGGAATTCCGTCTGAAATCAATACGTGACCAATTGAAAATGGACAGTTGTCCAACCAATGAAAAATAATATAAACAATAAATAATTCAGTATAAGTCCAATTCTATATGATATAATTTGGGTGCAATCCACACACGTGTTGTTATATTTTTCTAGAATTACATTCCACATAGGATTACAATGCCACATCTGACTTCAATGCCACATAGGATTACATTCCTTTTCTAATTTTATGATGTAATCATATATATTTTTTCTTTTTAAATTTATTTTCATGTTCCAATTATGCCCTTATGATTTAAATCGGTAAAGACTGATTTATATCATAATAATTAGCTAATTAATACAACTATTGATTCTTATTGCAATTCATAAACGGATAAGAAATTAATTTAAGGCCAATAATTACTATATTTGACCTTTTAGTTAATTATGATTTGAATTTATAAAATATTTTCTTGTCTATCCATTTTAATTTAGAAAATCCCATAAACATGCGCTAATACCAAAAAAAAAAATTAAATAAATAAATTCCTATAATCTTTCTTCTTCATCTTGTTCATCTTCTTCTTTCTTCTTCCTTCTTTTTTTCTTCTTACAATCCTATGGAGGAGGTTTAATTATCTATGGACTAGGAATATACATGAATGTTAATCGGGTATGGATAGGTAAATTACCTATGGAGGAGGTATACATATGAATGCTATTTATCTATGGATATGAATGTTATTTACCTATGGAGGAGATATATGATATGAAATTACCTATGAAGGAGGTAAATCAAACCTCCCAAAGACATATATACCTCACCATAAGGTATTCACTAGTTGAAAGCGTTTCATATTGAGATTGTAGAAATGTGATATTAATTTATTGATTGCAGTAATTAATAAAATTTAGAGGACTGACTGTACAATGGCAACATGTGTAAATATTTTAAAAACAGTGGCCAAGGTTTTGCATACTTGGCTGGCATGTTGAGTTGCTGGACCCAATTCTACGTCAAAAGAGAGGTGGATTGCATTCATAGTGCAAACTCAAAATTGAACCTATATCGAAAGACCCCAATAAACAAAAACTTAAAAAGTAACACCAAGAAGCAAGAGTCCTACTTGACCGTGTCCAAGATTTTAAACCTCCCTCTTTTTTAAGGAACCAAGCATCATTGGTACGTATGTATTATAAGTTGTTTAATGGCATTATCAATATATAATGGCGGAACTGTGAACTTAATTATCTTCATTTCATATTTTTTTTATGGGAGGAATCCATTGAAGAAAAAAAAAACACCCCATAGACACACAGACTAATCTCTTCTTATGTTATTCCAAACAAGGTTTCAACAAAATAAAAGTATCAGCTCTTCATATGATTAGAATATGTAGATGCTAATTAAACTTAACAATAGATTAATTTATTTTTTGCTGTCTACAACCACCAACAACGCCTGATACACAGATCCTTATTTCCTAGCTCTCAGGCTACATTATTCTACATCATCTTCTTCTAGACCCTAAACCTATGCGTTCATCTGTTGAGGAGCATTCATACTCCATGCAGTGAGGCTCTCTACTGTAATAGTCTCAGTCCCATTGTTGAACACAAACAAGTGAGCTTCCTTGTTAACTGCTAGAGTTGGATAAACCCTAGATGTGATGCATGTTTTTGCTCCAGGTCCAAAACTTTCAACAACAGAATGATCAATCTGTAGTTTTGAAAAACCAGAAAAAGCAAATTAATTACTAAGGATTTATATGATTGCAAATATATTAATTGAGTTTAAAAAGGGTTAAAAAAAAACGCACCAAACTTCTGAGGGAAAGCTTCTTGTAAGAAGTCAAATCTACATCCACAAAGCCAGCAAATGATGGTTTGTACAGGTTGTTCTGCAGAGACGAACTGTCCCAAACAAAATGGAAAATACAAATGGCAAGAGTTAATTACATGGTAATTACAGTAATTAAGGTAATTAAAGTACTTACCTTGTTGCATCAGAGCACATGAGAACTAGGTGCCTGCTGCCTTGAGCTTTAAAAATCCTGAAGAAAACAGGAGTGAATTCCTCTAGGTTTTGTGATGCTAATGTCAAAAGTCCAAAAGGCCCAAGGCCACCTTGAATTTTTGAACCCTTTAGGCCACAAAGTCTTTGGGCATCGAGGCTGGTCCAGCTAGGGTCAAAATCTTCGGCTTTGTCCAAGCTAGGGATTGTGAAGAGAACATCAACATCGGCCTGTGTGGTCCAAGTCCAACAACATAAGTTAATGCAAATCAATAATTCACAAAATAATTCAGTTCAGAAAAGTTAATTTGTATTGCAACATGCATGCATGTTGAGAGGGTCAAACCTGAGCCGCAGTTATTCCTTTAACTTCAACATAATCTCCTAGTTTGAGCTTTTGAATGTTCAACTCGACCTTTTGCCCTCTTAGAGTTTCTAGTTCTTCAATAGGCCATTGCAACAATTGTTTCCCATCTGGACTGAGCCACACCACCCTTGGTATTGTCTGTACAATTAATACCCAAAAAAAATGCTCAACAAGAGAGTAATATTACGCTTAACATATTTACTAATCACATTATTGATCGCTCGCAATCGGTACATTAAAAAAATTGGATCAGCAATGTAATGAGTACAAATATTATTATACGGTTATTACCTGAATTCCGGCCCATCCCTTAGCAACATCTTCTTGAGATGTATCAGACTCATTGGCCCACCCCCACAAAATTCTCCTACTCTTTGCAGGATCAAAGAAACTCTTGGATGCATAAAAGTTGCCATAGTCATATCTCAACCCAGACCAACCATCCACCAAGGCTTTATCAGGAACATACCTATCTTTCTCAGGAAAATATTTTCCAAGTGTGTAATATTCATACCTAGTCTCATCAAGGCTCACTTTCATAACATGCTTCACATCCGCACCAAAATTTGATGTGTCCAACCCGAATTTGCCAACCAATGGAACCGGGTAAAAATCCGGGCATTCCCACATACCCGTATGGGGAGCCGAGTGAAAAGCGTGATGGGCCTTGACCCAATGCATGAAGTCCTTGCTCCTATACAAATGGGCCACTCCTCTATGCTTCCTTTTGCCACCCACCAACATCTTCCAGTGCCCATCGATCCACCAAGCTGTTGTCGGGTCACGGAATGCGGTTGCGTTCATACCGGCATCTGGGACCACTAGAGGGTTGTTATCGGGCTTGATCCATTTGCGGAGGTACTGGTCGGATGAGTTTGCCGGGATGGCGTAGTTTTGGACCTGACGGTTTTGGGGGTCGATTCCAGTGTAGAGGATAATGGGCTTGTTGCCAGGGAGAATAGTGGCCGATCCGGACCAACATCCATTTATGTCAAAGGGCTTGGATGGGTATATTGCAGGCTCAAGGGCTTCCCAATTGATCATATCCATGGACACTGAATGGGCCCAAACAATGTTGCCCCAAACCGCACCTTTGGGATTGTACTGATAGAACAAGTGGTACAGACCGCCAAAGTACATGGGTCCTATTTGCATTCAGAAAATAGTAAATTAAGAGAGTGATTAAGGAATTAATTTAGACTATAATTGGTAATTGAAACAAAGGGTTGCAAAATTTGAACGTTGGGAAAGAGAGACTCACCATTAGGGTCTGTGGTTGATTGGTTCATGGGCCACCATTGAAAGGACAAAGTACAATAAAAAAAAAAAGTCAGTCACTCTACTAACTAGAAGAGGATTTAGGAATGAATATAACACTTGTTCTGTAAACATAGAAAGGTCATTCATTATTTGCCAACGGGTCTAACCTAGTGGAAAGGGCCTTGAACATTGTGACAGTGTGTGTAGGAAACCCCTCTTCCTCAATATCACTTATATAAATATAAAAATAAAAAGATCCGTAATATAATTTTATATTTAAGATATAATATTTTACTATGCTGTGATGATTTAACTGTTGATTTTCGTAACTTCAGAAAGAATAACCATAATGAGTTTTGACTGAGGCAGATCTGGAACATATATCAGGTGAAATTTACAGAATTATATGACACCAAAACCTGAAGCCTGTGATCAGAAC